AATAAATAAATAAATAAATAGACTCAAGCTTCCATTGCCAATGTGCAAACCACTCCGTTTGTTTCTCTTCTAGGCACTGCCTGCTCACGTGTGAGGAATGCAAGATAAGGCGCGGATTAAGTGAGAAAGGAGGCTCACACCCCTCTGCTTCCTAAACTCTGTATCTGGCTTGGGAAGTTTTTAAATCCCTGAATTTGTACACATTAAAAATTTCAAGTGTACTCAAAATATACTTCTGATGAAAGAGCACCTTTGTTGATTCACTCTTCTGAAGTGTTTTCTGCAGAAGGCTCTCAATTGATGAACATGTTTTCCTGCTCTTTAAGAACATGGTGGAAGGGGCTGAGGGTGTAGGTCAGTGGTGGAGCACTATCCAAGCATGCCAGAAGCCGTGGGCTCAATCTTCAACAGGAAAGAAAGAAGAAGGGAAGGAGGGACTGGAGGAGGGAGGCAGAAAAGGAAGAAAGACACTCAGAGTCTCATACATCAAAAAGAAATGATGTAAGGGCGGCCAGATAGCTCAGTGGATTAAAGCAGCTGTTTGGGGAGACTCAGGGACTGGGGTTTAATCCCTGGCGTGCTCATACCATGCCGACCCTGACTCTGCGGCACGCAGAGATGGTGACTGAGACTGGGCGTGGTGGGGTGTGCCTGTTATCACAGAGCTTGGGAGGCTGAAAACAGGAGGATCGCTATGAGTCCAAATTGGGAAGTGAGACTCTCTAGACCCTGTAGATCCTGTACTAAATACATAAAAAGAAGAAAAGAAAAAATGTTATATCCTCCCTTACAGCTATGCAAAAGAATTTGGAATCTTTGGACCCCAGCTATTCTCTTCTCTGCTTTTTTCTCATGATCTTAAGTTCTCTGGTAGAGGATAGGAATGCTTGAATAAGTTGAGAAGCTATGACCCAAAAACAGTTCATGTGTTTGGAGATAGGAATATGGGATAAGAAAGACTGTGTCTTACAAATATTAAAAATGCTCCCTAAAATGTAGAGGCCAAGACTTTTAATGAAAAACATTTCACTGGAAAGTTGGGCATGGTGGTACATACCTGTAACCCCAGCACGTAGAAAACTGAGGCTTAAGGACTGTGAGTTTGAGGCCAGGCTGGGCTACACAGTGAGACTCTGTCTCAGAAAACAAACAAAACAACAAATTTGTTTGAAAGGGACAGTATGGATGAACTGTCCTCATGATGGAAGTGACTGGTCCATCGGTCCATCAGTCCATATAGAAACATCATTTTCAGGCTGCTTTGCTAATGATTATAGGCTCACAGTCAGTGGCCAGTAATCGAGTTCTTTTGTGGATTACTTGTGACCTGAAAGAATAAACACAAATTCCCAAGCTCTGCTCCCAAGGGACACCTTATGGATGGAAAGAATTACTAAAGGAATTAACTCACAGAATGATAAACTCCTAGAACTTCAGGACGTAGAGGCCGCCTGTATGATCCAAGAGTTTGGATTTCTGTTCTCCAACTGCATTTGTTCCATGAAAAGAAAAAAACTTATTTGGGAACCTCTTATTGTATGGCAAGTTGGCTGAGTCCTATACCAAAATTTCTCTTGCTTCTTTGCATCTTCTCAGGAAAATGCTTTAGATATGTGTCATCGTTGATACATGTTTATGTATGTGTACATACATGTGTTTTATTTAATGCATCTTTAAAAAAAAACCTACACCATGGAGACAAAACCCGGAAATCTTATCAAAGTTAAAGCTTTGGATATAGTAGTACATGTCTGTAATCCTCACTACTCAGACTAAGGTAAAACGACTGCAAGTTGTCAAACCAGCCTGGGCAACTTAGTCTCAAAATCCAAAACTAAAAAGTATGAAAAATGTAGCTCAGGGTCCCTTGAGTTCAATCCCCACTGCTGCCAAAACAAGCAAAAAAGATTAATACTTGGTATGAAATCATTTATTTTAAACATCAAAAATATGTGCAAACTGTGGAGGGTGTTTATTGGTTTGTTTTGTTTTTTCTTTCAGTGCTAGGGATAAATCCAAGACCTGGAACATGCTAGCCAAACAGTCCCCTGAGCTACATCTCCAGACATAGGCATTTTTATTTTTATTTTTATTGTATTTTAGGGAAGGGTCTACAGGGTGTTCAGGGTCTCACTACTGGATCGCACTCCTAGTGATCGTTCTGTTTACAGCCTCCCAAGAGGTGAGATTACAGGCATGTACCACCATGCCCAGTCTCAATTGCCATCTCAGCATGCCCCTGGGGGCAGGCTGGCATGGCAGGCCTGGGGGTTGAACCCCCGGCCCCTGCACCTGCTTGCAGGTGCTTTAATCCGCTGAGCTATTTGGCTCCTAGTATTTTTATTTTTACATGACCATTAAGTGCATGGAATGATTTGACTGAAGCTCATTTTTACAATATATATATACTGTTTCTTCAGTTCATAAAGTTCTGTTTCTGCACATCAGAATGCAGAGCCAATTTCCTAGCATGTGAATGTCTTTGTGTTGCCGAGGATTGAACATAGAGCCTCATGCATGGTAGGCAAGCATTCTACCACTTCCCAGTACACCTTCAGGCCCTAGCCTAGCTTCTTAAATACAGTTTAAGTCTTGGCTCTGACAGCTAGCAATTGGGGACTCTGTTATCTCCACTATTGGCAAAAATTCAAAATTAGGCATAGTTATTTCCTGCACCCAGAAAATTATTTCCCAGTAATGAAAATATTTTCACATTGCAAAGCATAGCAAGACAATGTGAAAATACCAGTTTTGTGGTACTGGAAAAAGATACATTATTGTCCAAGAAGGATTAACTTTTTACTATTGATCTCTTCATAGATCCTAATGAAGGTGGGTTTATTGGTTGAGCTTCCGCTTTACCTGGTAGATGCATTATTCACTGAAGCATTTTACTGTGTTATCTTAGCATATAAGGAAATACTAAGAAGAAAACTAGAAGGACATCAAAGAAGTCTTGACTGTTCTGCTGCATATTTCTTGTATTAGGAAGCAAATGTCTGGGGGAGAATGTCTATTTCCTGTGTTTCAGAAGCAGCATCTGTCTTGCAGCATTTAGTAATTACCAACACTCAGCATCAAGTTGGTCAGAAGCTTAGGAAACGGAACTTCCATAATTTATAAAGGCTTGGCAAAGAACAGGATAAAATTGTAAACTTGCCTGAGAGGAGAAAAAAAAAACCTGGTGATGCTACCTAGTAAAAGCTGGAGCTAAGTAACCTGGCAGAATTTCCCTGTGACGACATGGTCTGATCGTCTAGAGAGCGATCAAAAATGCTGTAATGCTTTTGTAATGCTGTTCATTGGACAGTGGGTTTATACTGATAAACCTATCATATATTGAGAATGAATTATCACAGCTAATGTACCTAAACTCATAGCTTCTCATAGCCTGTCTTCTGTGTGCTGGAAACACTAAATTTGCCTGTAGTTGGACAAGATCATCTTACACAAAGCTGATGTTATAATGAAGTGCTGAACAGCTGGTACGTATTGAATACTGTAATGAACCAGAGAAACAAGATAGTTGAATGGGTACTCTTTTTGTGCTATTATAGCCCAAAAAAATCATAAAATGGAACCACTCTAAAGTTGGAGACCATCTGCTTCGAATTTGATTAATGGAATTTAAACTGTAACAATACTTTGCCCATGGATGTACTCCTATGAAAAGACAAATTTAATAACTGAAATCAACAAGCTTGTTTCATACATTTGTAATTATTCTAGTCAACATATGAAATATTCTTGGGGCTAGTGAGATGGCTCGAAGGTCTAGGGCACCTACTTGGAACAGGCTTGGCAAAGCACAGGGACCGTGGTTCAATCCCCCAGCACAACATGCTAGCCGGCCCCACCCCCTGGTGGGCTGAGCTGACCATACACACACACACATAACTAAAATAAAATAAAAAAGAAATGTTCTTAAGAGGAGAATGATACTAGTAAAGATTCAGATCCAAGCAGAAAATATCAGATTTAGGGGCTGGTGAGATGGCTCAGTGGTCTAAAGCACCTACTTAGAACAAGTTTAGCAAAGCACAGGGACCACGGTTCAATGCCCCAGCACCACATGCCAGCCAGCCCGCCCCCTGGTGGGCAGAACTGGCCACACACACACACACACACACACACACACACATAAATAAATAAAAATTAAAAAGAAAATATCAGATTTAATCTTGTGCGTTCTTGTGGATCAGTACTGATGCATTAGAAGGGCATTTGTGTCTTGGCTTACACATGGGTAGATGACTACATAGGATCTTTTCAGGATAGCTGTAAATTTTGAGGCACTGGTAAAAACATTCCACCTACTCCATTAGCTAATGTGATCATTTGTTTCTAAGTTTTGTTCCAGTTTGTGTAGTCTTGGAGTTCAAATATTATGGCTGGAGTTAAACTGTGTTCTGTATGAAACGTGTATTTCACAATTTAAAACTAAAGGTTTAAATTTTAAAATTCTTAGGCTGGGGGCTGGGGAGATAGCTTAGTGGAATAAATGCTTGCCTGGCAAGCACAAGGTCCTGAGTTTGATTTCCTGGTACCACAAAAAAAGAAAAAAAAATTCTTGGGCTGAAGGTGTTGTTCAGTGGCAGAACACTTACTTGCCTAGAGTGCATGGAGCCTGGCTTTGATCCTCAGCAGTACAAAAAAAAAAAAATTCTCTTAAAGATATTCTCTTAAGTAATGAAACCTTATTAAATGTCATGTAATTTTTATTTGCTTTTTGCATAATGCAACCTGTTAAATTGACAGAAAACTTTTCCAAATTTCAGCTATAAACAGATTTTATAGATATTTAGAGTAGGCAGATGTTTCAGTACTTCACCCAGATGGTTCAAAGTTAGACTGATAATGTAGTTGGGTGAAGCTAGATTGTGGGCATATTAAACACAAGCATATTCTTCCTTCCCCCCGCCCCAAATATCTAGGCCTACTCTTGTCTAACCTTCCAGTTTTTCTAAACAAGTGAAGATTTTTTAATCAAATTTTCAGGATTTAAAATTGATTTTTTTTTTTAAATTTTTACTTTTTTGTTTTCTACCTATGTAATCCAGACTGGCCCTGAACTCATACTCACTAAGTAGCCCAGGCTGGCCTTGAACTTGTGGAGATCATCCTGTTTCAGTTTCCCAGGCGCTGGTATCATAGGTGTGGGCCACCATGCCTGGCTAGATTTTAAATGTTTTTAAACCTTTCTGAATAATGGGCTGGGGAGATAGGTTGGCGGTCTAAGCGCCTGCCTG